AAAGGAGGACAGAGGAATCGAATAAAAGCTTTTTTATATACATTGGAATACTTGATCACTCGAGCGTCACTCCACAGTGTCATCAGCAGCGCTAAAAGGATCTGCCCTTATGATGTTGAAGTTTGGTTATTTAATAAATTCATAATAAATAATAATAAAGATAGGCTATACTGTTGAAATATCTGAGATGTGTGGTTTATATAAACTGCAAAGGTAAAGTATAAATTAAAATGATTGTGACCGATGTGAAGGGGGAGGAGAATTGACACGTGCGTCACGTTTAGTCAACATAACAGTTCCGCGTAGGATGCACCTGTGTATCCTCGCTTATGACTCCTCAGGAAGCCTCCTATCTCCTCGATCCTCGACTCCTCACGGTGCAATTAGAGAATTGAGATGTCCTTCAAGATGGCTGAGCTCGATCGGTTTCCGGGTCATATGAGGGAGGACGGAGGATCGAGGAGACGAGGAGGGATATTGAGAAGCACCCAATGAGTTCCTCTACAAGATCTCCTCAAGGGTGTGTGCTGTCCCCACTTTTATTTATTTTATATACCAACATGTGTCAAAGCATGTATGAGAACAGATTTATTATAAAATATGCAGATGACTCAGTAATTCTGAGTTTACTTAAAGACAATGAGACCTCACATGGTCCAATTATTGAGGATTTTGTTAACTGGTGTGATGAATCCTATTTACAGTTAAATATATTAAAGACAAAAGATATGCACATTGATTTTAGGAAAATTGCTCATCCAAGTGATCCTAATTTAATTAAAGGCCAAAAAATAGAGTGTGTACAATCATACAAATACCTTGGGACCATAATTGATGAGAAACTAAATTTTGAAGAGAATTGTGAGGCTCTGAACAAAAAGGGGGCTCTAGCATTTGTACGGCCAAAGGAGATTATCTGTATTCAATCTTGATCAAACAATAATGAAGATCTTTTATCATGCTTTTATAGAATCTGTTTTGTCATTTTCCACTTTAGTATGGTACGGTCATATATCCTTAAAGGCAAAAAAACAGCTGGACCAGATAGTAAAATGGTCTGGCCGTTAGATAGGCGAGTAAAAACCAGGAGTTGCATTACTATATGCCAAACAGTTACAGAGGATGGCCCTTTCAATTTTAAAAGATGACTCTCACCCTCTGCGAAATGAGTTTCAGTTACTACCGTCTGCGAGGAGGTATAAAGTCCCTAGGTGCAGAACGAAAAGATATAAAAGCAGCTTCGTACCTAATGCGATTGTTATGCTTAACAAATTGAAGAGGTGTTTTTCAGATATGTACTAGGGGATCTTATGATTTTATGATATTTAAAGAGCTCATATGAAGTGCTCTTGAAGTGCTCTTGAAAAACTTCACTAAGTTGTTTTTATGAGTATTTATTTATTTGTCCTTATGTGTAGTGTAGTGTCCTGTGTTGTGTGTTTTTTTTTGTACTGGATGCCACAGTATCTCATTGCACTGTAAAACAAATTTACCTACGGGTATAAATAAAGTAAACAAACAAACAAACAAACAAAATGATCGGGGCATTGCCACCGACCACCGTAAAGCTCCCCGGACTCCCCGGAACCGAGGAGGAGACCGTGCGAACTGAATCGCATAGCCGAGCCTGATAGTTTGGGCAACCCAACAGGACAGATTGGGGAGCTCTAACCAAGCCCCCAAAAACTGATCCAGCGGAATCATCCGAGCCACAGTCGTCCCCCCGGAGGGGCAGCGGGGCGGAGAGACCGGCACAGGCGGGGGTGGCGTAGCAACCCCACGCGAGTGCACAATCAGGCTCCGCGCCCCGACAGAGGAGACCAGGGAAGGACCAGCGTTCCGCGGGGGTCAGCTCTGCCAGGGATCTGGCGATAGAGGGGGATGAGAGTGGTGTGGTCCAGAGATGACACGCACTGCCATCCGCGCCCTCGGAGACAGAGGAGGATGAGAGTCGCGAGGCACGGGGGTGTTGCACACTGCCAACCTGCTCTGTGTGCTCAGTGATGGTGTCAAATCTTTCATTAACCAACTTAGGGTACTGCCCACCCGTGAGGGAGGGGGGCCGCGGGAGGGTGCCCTCGGCGGCAAGTGTGAGGATGTGTTTAATAGCCTCAGTCTGCTTCTGAGCGGCTGAGAACTGCTGGGCAAAGTCCTCAACCGCACCGCCGAAGAGGCCAGCCTGGGATAAGGGGGCGTCAAGCAGACGAGTCCGCTCGGCGTCCCGCATATCAGCCAGGTTGAGCCATAGGTGAAGCTCCTGGACCACGTTAGTGGCCATCACCTGACCGATGGAGCGTGCCACCTTAGTCGCCCGGAGAGCGAGGTCAGTGGCAGCACGCAGTTCATCGAACGCCCCCAGGGTCAGTCCCCTGCTCGTGCATATCTCTGAGTAGCTTTGCTTGATAAACCTGCAAGGTGCTCATTGCATGCATGGCAGCAGCCGCCTGTCCTGCAGCTCTGTAAGATCTCGCCACCATAGATGACAAAAACCTACAGGCCTTGGACGGGTGCTTAGGAGTACCCCGAGAGGATGCGCTCCGAGGACACACTTGCATCGCAACAGAGCGCTCCACCGGGGGAATCCCAGTGTACCCATGGGTGACTGCGCCGTCGAGGGGAGGAAAGGCAGGGGAAGCTGACGAACGCTCGAACGGATTCCACTGTAACCCGATGCTCATGGCGGCCCGAGAAAACATGGCGGTCATCTCGGGATCAGACACGGGCAACACTGGGACTCACAAAGGAGGCAACGCAGCCGCATCCTCACTTCCCGAGGACTCTAGCCCACCTTGTGATGCTGCGATCGACATTGCGTCCTCCTCTGGAGCGCCGAATGAAACAGACGGGACCTGAGAAGCACCCGTCTGAATCACTGCGGCACTCGCGGGTTGCAACAACAGAGGGGGGTGTGGCCCCCCAAACGTCGGGTCTTTGTTCCACACCGTCACACTCAAATCACCCTGACCGCGAGCCGAAGAGTCTCCTTTCGTGGAGGAAGCAGATCGGGTAACGGATGCAGGGACTCTCACAGTTAGATCATTGAGTCTCGATCTGAGTGTTGCGATGGTCATGTTCCCACAAAAGGAACATGAGTCATCCACGAGCGCTGCTTTAGCGTGTTCAAAGCCCAGACACACAAAACAGCGCTCGTGCCCATCAGAAGATGACAAATATCGACCGCAACCAGAAGAACACGGGCGAGGCATCTTTAAAAAGACGTGCACCGTGCAGCTCTTTTAGGAGAGAGGAGAAAAAACTCTGCAATGCTGAGGCGACCAGGGAGAAACACACAGTCTGGCAGACCACTGCACAGATCGCAGGCAATGTAGAATCTCGCTGGGTACCGCTGTCACACCAACACGGAAGAGTTCGCTCGTCTCGAAGAGGTGAGTCACAGTAGTAAACTCAGGATATGTGGCTTGTGGAGTGAAGAGTTCTCTTGGCTCCAAAGCGAAAACATACTGCGGTTGCCTCCGCTTCCTACTTTTATACTCACTGGGTGAGGCGGAGATACGCTATGATACGCATTTCCTTGCCATTGGCTCGTTTTTTTATACTCGAAGAGGATTGGCTTTCTAGGCGAGACCCACATTCTCCGTCATCCGACTTAACTCATATGTTATGGCGCCGTTTTATACATAAACAATATTTATATTTAATATTTATATATAAACAATATGAAAGTAAGCCAGAGGAGAACTGGCCCCCGACTGAGCCTGGGTTCTCCCAAGGTTTTTTCTCCATCCAATCTGATGGAGTTTTGGTTCCTTGCCACTGTCGCCTTGCTTAGTTGGGGTTATTTAATATTTAATATTTAACAATATTATTGATCTGTGTTGTACTACTTTCATGTTATCACTGTGAAGCTGCTTTGATACAATCTGTATTGTGAAAAGCGCTATATAAATAAATGTGACTTGACTTGACTTGACTTAACTCGGAGTGACTACGAAAGGGAACTGGCTGTGGTTGAGACGGAAAGATTCTGGCTGGCTTTTACAGGCCGCCACGCAAGTTTCATAGAATTCTTGAAAAAGTCAAAGAGTCAAAGGTTTATTTGTATAGTTTGCATAGTAATTACAGTTATTATGTAATTAATTACGTAATTTACGTTATCTGATAATTATTACTGTAATTATCAGAAATTGTGTTTTGCGGTAGGTAGTATGCCATATGGAACCGTTGCCACTGAACCAACTGTACTTTAACGAAGATAGTGGGGCTCGACAACCTTAGTCAAACAGGAACTACACGGAAGGAGCAACCTCAGCAGCAGGGGGGATGTTAAGGTCAAGTAAGCTGCGCTGAGTTGAGTGGGGGACGAAGGGGGGTGACTCTGTGACACCAGAGTCACTGTCGAGGCCTCTTGAGGTGTCATGGGGTGGTCAACAAAACACTGAGGATGGAAGGTGCCCACTTGAAGACCCTAGAGATGTCCCCTACTCGGCTCAATCCAGATGGTTGTCGTGCTGGTCCACTGGGGAGACCACACTGTAGTTGCAGCCGTCGTGTGTGCTGACGTGCCAAGTACACTGCAGCCGTTAACGCCGGACAAAAGGAGATTCACATTACCAAATGGAAAGAAAAGTAAATGGATGGAGAAGCATAGTTTACTTTAAAGCTACGTCTTAGTTTGTGCTTATCTTGGCGAAAGCCGAGTACAAATCAGCATGAAGTTTTAACATCTACTCTCATGTAATGGAAATCATGAACAGATTAATCAAAAATATTTCTGCATAAACTTTTATTTTGCACAGCCTTCATTTTCCTATGTCTGAAGAATATATACAAATCATTTCACTTAAATATTTTAACTAGTATATAAGAAGCCTGTTTAAATTTGAAAATATGTATTAAAATGAATCCTTTGTTCATTTTGAAAACATTCATTGCACTTTGCACCAAGTTATCAATGCAAGGCAAATTACCCAGAGGTCAATGGCTTATTTGTTTACATTTCTGCACAGTCCATCTCTCAAACTCTGAAATAAAACAAACATTTGTGCTCTGTTGAGGAATCTGTATCGAAATAATTGGTTCAACTTTCTTGTCACAAGACAGTCTTACATGGGCTGAGTGCTGGCTCATTTGTGATCTCATCATACTACACCCTCTCTGCTTCTGTCTCTGCTCTATACATTGTTCCACACTGCAGTGTATATTCATTTTAAACAAGTGGTGTGCAAAAAACACAAGACACCCTTCAGATGAACATACTTCAAAATATCAGGGGTCATATTGTTTCGACAGATAAGGTAAGACTAATTCTTTGTGTCTCAATCAACCAGTATACTGAAGAATCATTCACTAAATAATTTCTAATGTAACAGCTACTTTACAGTTTTTAATCAAAGTGCTTTAATGTCCAGATCTTACCAGAATATATATATGCGTGTGTGTGTGTGTGTGTGTGTGTGTGTGTGGATTTTATATGTAATTTATGAATTACAAAAGATGACTTCAACTGCTTCTGAATTGACAGGGTATGTCACCTCTGTGGGTAAAAACTGTCCGTCATGGCAAATATGTGGTAAATATTATGAACCTGACACAATATTTATGGTCCAGCATGACGATTTGATGATATGGTCCAGCATGATGATTTAATATACCTGAATAGTAGATCAGTGAATGACATCAGGAAAATTTAATCTAGTTGATACATTATAGCAAATATCTGACACTCAGTTAAAAACAGTTTTACAGACAATTTTAATAATTATAAATAATTATATACAGTATAGTTATAAATATAGTAATAATAAATAATTATAGTAGAAATCATTCCTTCTAACTTTTTGTATGCACCCTGTGAATAATATTTAAAAATCATTTAGCCTTACTAAAGAGTTTTGAAAACATTTAAGTAGCCAGTAATAATAGAACAAGCTCTGATTAAGCACAGACTAGAACAAACTAAGAAAACACTCACTATCCTGTACAAGATTTATAAATACAAAAACTTGCTATAATTTCTCTATGAAAAAGGAAGTTCTTCATTGATGTATGCATCACTCATTGATGTGTAATTGTTTATCTGCCTAAATATTACACAAATGAGTTAAATTAAAAGAAAAAATGACAGTAGTATAAACAGTATCATAAATTATAAATAGACAGACCTATTTTAAACAAAAATAACAACAAAAAAAGAGTACATCCACATCAATTTATCAATTAATTATTTCAAAAGGGGGACAGTGTCATGATACAGAAGAACAAAGATCAAATCCAAACAAAGTTTATGTGTGTCTGTGTGTGTGTGTGACCTTTGGGTTTTGTTTTCTCTTTCTCGTCTGGTTTGTCCCACCCTTCGTTAGCACACACACGCACACACACACACACACACACACACACACACACACACACACACAAACACAATGATGATATCAGGCTTTATTTTCCTACACACAGAGCAGTAAAAGAGAGATGGTGGTGAATCGAAAAGTTGTTCAAAGCTCCACCCACAGCAACTCTGCAGCACTCAATATCACAGTAAACATTACTCATTCACTTTATATTGTACTTAAAACAGTAAACAAAAATAAAACAAATCTGAAATGTAATAAACCCTCCCGAAAAAATTACATATGTTGTAAACAATTCAATGTAATCTTGTCTTTTCTTAACTTTTTGGTTTGTGATTTATATAACACTGATTACACAGCTTATATCATAAATTTTATATTACTCTTAATTGTATGAATTTATGGTGTTTTTAGTAAAACCATGAATTACGTACATTACAAAATACTCATAAATATGAACAGAAAACACTCTTTACAAATCAATCAGTGTCTATTATGAGAAATCCCGCAAGTAATTGTCAACCATTCAAGAAGAAATTATATGTTTTAAACTTTTAGTGCGGAGCTATCACAGAATCGACTCACCGACAGCAGTTCTCTACAACTCTGCTGCAGATCACACACACACACACACACACACACACGCGCGCGCGCACAGTAGCCTATAGCATCACCAGGGGCACCCATAGGAACCCCATTATTGCAGGATTTATTCAAAGAACTCTCAACCTATAATATTTATTAATCACGTCTCACACACACACACACACACACACACACACACGCACGCACGCACACACACACACACACACATATATGTTAGTTATGTCAAGAAAAAAATTACAAACATTTTGAAAGTTTGAGCAGGAATCCATTCATTAAGCTACAGATCATCTGTCATTTTCAAAAATTTGAATGTTTATTTTGTTATAGTTTAACAGGAGCTGGTTTATAGTGCATTAAATTAATATCACATTCTGTCACAGTATATGAACATGGCCACTACACTGCCAAGCCCCCTTACAACTCATGTGCTGAATATTGCCCAAGGAGTTCCTGGAGCCAACATGACCATTATCCTCTATCTCCTAGACCCCATCTCATCGGTGTGGAACTTACTCACAACAGGGTAAATGCATAAAGTGACACATATTTAAGTTTTCTATCAACCAAAATGATAGCATGACGATTAAAGAGTATGTAGAGGTCTTGGCTAACCAAGTTAAATAATTCAAAAATTTCTCGAAATCATGAAAATCAATACTTCGTTTATTTTAGGATAACTAATGACGATGGACGGTGTCCTGGATTGATTAAAAAAGATAGCTTCATTGCTGGTGTGTATAAACTGCGTTTTGAGACTGGAAAGTACTGGGATGCCTTGGGGGAAATGTGCTTCTATCCATATGTAGAGGTATGAGAAAATGAAATGTACTATTCAAACAATAACCTGGAGTAATTTATTTTTTTTAGCTGTATTTTAAGCTAATGTTTAGACACTTTACACCAGTGGTTTTCAATGCTGATCCCGGGGACCATCTCTGTTAAGAATGTAACCTTAGTTCCTTGAGTAGGGAACGAGACACTGTGTTAGTAGCTGACACTATGGAAACACCCCGAGGTGTGATGATTGTCTGAAGCCCATATAGAATCATGCCAATTTATTGGCTGATGGCGCTTGCATCACCCCATGTGGCATACATTAAAAGGACATCCTTGTGTCATCTTACTCAGATTTCCAATGAAGGAAGCAAGCCAATGAATGAGGAGAATGGCATGCAATTGTACCTGATTTCTTACCCGACTCCTAAATCTAACCTTTGTCCCGTCTACAATCGATGTTCCCGAACGTCTACAGTCGACGTTTAGTCTATCTGGCTCTCGTCTACAATCGACGTCCCCTGGGTATCGTCTACAATCGATGTCCCCTAACATCTAGTCAAGTCAAGTCACCTTTATTTATATAGCGCTTTTTAAAACACAGATTATATCAAAGCAGATTCTCAGTGATAACATGAAAATAAAAAAAAAACCTTTGGAGAAACCAGGCTCAGTTGGGGGCCAGTTCTCCTCTGGCCAACGAAGGAACAGTGTGTGATTTGGGTAGCATTACAAGACATATTGGAATGAAACATTAAGAGTATTTATCCATTTAATCTGTCTGGAAGTCAAAGTAATCACACCGGTGTGGAGTTGTTGAGGATCAGTGCCGATCGCTGTCATGTCGATGAGGCCGGCGCAGGCACAGGTCCACCATAGAGGGTCCCTCGGGATAAACAGAGTAACTAATATTAGCGTAGATGCCATCCTTCTTATGATGTACCAAGTACATCAGGATTTACAGAACGTGTTCCCGGTTCTGGCTGATCTAAACTATGCAGCCTAATTTTGAATTAAGGAAGTCTTTAGTGTGTTATGTGTATGCTAGGCCAAAAAGATGTGTTTTTAGTCTAGCTTTGAACTGACAGAGTGTGTCTGCTTCCCGGACAATTTTAGGAAGATTGTTCAAGAGTTTTGGTGCTAAATAGGAAAAGGATCTTTTCAGCCTGCAGTCGATTTTGATATTCTAGGTATTATCAACTGGTCAGAATTCCGAGTTAAGAGCTTGCTCAAGTACTGGGGAGCTAAACCATTCAGTGCTTTGGAAGTAATCAGCAATATTTTAAAATTTATATGACGTTTAATAGGCAGCCAATGCATGGTTGACAGAACCAGGCTAATATGGTCATACTTGCTGGTTCTTGTAAGAACTCGAGCTGCTGCATTTTGAAATAGCTGAAGTTTGTTTTTTAAGTGTGCAGGGCACACTTAAAAAACAAAAAACCCAGTAGAGCGGGGTTCTCAAAGTTTTGATAGTTCCATCTTCTTCTTCCGCTTCATCCGGGGCTGGGTCGCGAGGGCAGCAGTCTAAGCAGAGATGCCCAGACTTCCCTCTCCCTAGACACTTCCTCTAGCTCTTCTGGGGGGACACCGAGGCGTTCCCAGGCCAGCCGGGAGACATAGTCTTTCCAGTGTGTCCTAGGTCTTCCCCGGGGCCTCCGCCCAGTGGAACGTGCCCGGAACACCTCCCCAGGGAGGCGTTCAGGAGGCATCCGGAACAGATGTCCGAGCCACCTCAGCTGACCCCTCTCGATGTGGAGGAGCAGCGGCTCTACTCTGAGCTCCTCCCGAGTGACCGAGCTTCTCACCCTATCTCTAAGGGATCGCCCAGCCACCCTGCGGAGAAAGCTCATTTCGACCGCCTGTATCCGGGATCTTGTCCTTTCGGTCATGACCCAAAGCTCATGACCATAGGTGAGAGTAGGAACGTAGATTGACCAGTAAATTGAGAGCTTTGCCTTACGGCTCAGCTCCTTCTTCACCACAACAGACCGGTACATCGACCGCATTGCTGCAGAAGCTGCACCGATCCGTCTGTCAATCTCCCGTTCCATCCTTCCCTCACTCGTGAACAAAACCCCAAGATACTTAAACTCCTCCACTTGAGGAAGGATTTCTCCACCAACCTGAAGTGAGCAAGCCACCCTTTTCCGACTGAGGACCATGGCCTCGGATTTGGAGGTGCTGATTCTCATCCCAGCCGCTTCACACTCGGCTGCAAACCTCCCCAGTGCATGCTGAAGGTCCAGGTGTGAAGGGGCCAACACGACAACATCATCCGCAAAGAGCAGAGACGAAATCGTGCGGTCCCCAAACCTGACACCCTCCGGCCCCTGGCTGCGCCTATAAATTCCGTCCATAAAAATTATGAACAGAACCGGGGACAAAGGGCAGCCCTGCCGGAGTCCAACATGCACTGGGAATAAGTCTGACTTATTACCGGCAATGCGAACCAAGCTCCTGCTTCGGTCATACAGGGACCGGACAGCCCTTAGCAAAGGACCCCGGACCCCATATTCCCGGAGCATCCTCCACAGGCCGCCTCGGGGGACACAGTCGAATGCCCTCTCCAAATCCACAAAACACATGTGGACTGGTTGGGCAAACTCCCATGAACCCTCCAGCACCCTGTAGAGAGTATAGAGCTGGTCCAGTGTTCCACGGCCTGGACGAAAACCACACTGTTCCTCCTGAATCCGAGGTTCCACTATCGGCCGTATTCTCCTCTCCAGTACCCTGGCATAGACTTTCCCAGGGAGGCTGAGAAGTGTGATCCCCCTCTAGTTGGAACACACCCTCCGGTCCCCCCTCTTAAAAAGAGGAACCACCACCCCGGTCTGCCATCCCAGAGGCACTGTCCCCGACCGCCACGCGATGCTGCAGAGGCGTGTCAACCAAGACAGCCCCACAACATCCAGACACTTGAGGTATTCAGGGCGCATCTCATCCACCCCCGGTGCCTTGCCACCGAGGAGTTTCTTGACTACCTCGGTGACCTCAGCTAGGGTGATGGACGAGTCCACCTCTGAGCGCTCAGCCTCTGCTTCCTCAATGAAAGACGTGATTGAGGAGATCCTCGAAGTATTCCTTCCACCGCCCGACGACATCCTCAGTTGAGGTCAGCAGCCGCCCACCCCTACTGTAAACTGCATTGGTGGGGGACTGCTTCCCCCTCCTGAGGCGCCGGACAGTTTGCCAGAATCTCTTCGAGGCCAGCCGATAGTCCTTCTCCATGGCCTCACCGAACTCCTCCCAGGCCCAAATTTTTCCTCCACAACCACCCGGGCCGCAGTCCGCTTGGCCTGCCGGTACCTGTCAGCTGCCTCCGGAGTCCCACAAGCCAAACAGGCCTGATAGGACTCCTTCTTCAGCTTGACGGCATCCTTTACTTCCGGTGTCCACCACCGGGTTTGGGGATTGCCGCCTCGACAGGCACCGAAGACCTTACGGCCACAGCTCCAAGCAGCCGCTTCGACAATGGAGGTGGAGAACATGGTCCACTCAGACTCAATATCTCCAGCCTCCCTCGGGATCTGGTCGTAGCTCTGCCGGAGGTGAGAGTTAAAGATCTCTCTGACAGGAGATTCGGCCAAACGTTCCCAGCAAACCCTTACAGTACGCTTGGGTCTGCCAAGTCTGTCCAGCCTCCTCCCCCGCCATCGGATCCAACTCACCACCAGGTAGTGATCAGTTGACAGCTCCGCCCCTCTTTTCACCCGAGTGTCCAAGACATACGGCCGCAGGTCAGATGAAACGACCACAAAGTCGATCATTGACCTACGACCTAGGGTGTCCTGGTGCCACATGCACTGGTGGACACCCTTATGCTTGAACATGGTGTTTGTTATGGACAAACTGTAACTAGCACAGAAGTCCAATAACTGAACACCACTCGTGTTCAGGTCGGGGGGGCCGTTCCTCCCAATCACGCCCCTCCAGGTGTCACTGTCGTTGCCCACGTGAGTGATGAAGTAGAGGTCTGCACCCCCGCGGGACTCCTGCGGGACCCGCGGGTCGCGACGCAAAACAGTGCGGCGCGGGAGAAATTTTGAAAGGTCAATGCGGGAGCGGGCGGGATGATGAGGTGCACTTCCGCAAATTAAATATGAGTGTAAAATAAAATATATAAATGATTAAAGTAGCGTACATAATTTGTAGTTGTGAGGGAGATTCTGATTGGCAGCAATAAAAACGTTTTAAGCAGCCTAAACTTGTGAATATTGTCGGGTAGGGCGGGGCATAATCTCACGCACAGTCGCACACTTGTTTAGAGACAATTCCTTCCCGCTGCTCCGTGTTCGAATTCGAAAGCTAGTTCAAGTTCAAAATAGACAGCATGGACGAGGAACAGAGCGCCTCTAGTGCTTCAGATAGAGGCCTAAGCGCTTCAGATGTAAGTTACGTTACTTCTCTAAAGTACTTGTGGTAGGCACACGGGCTATTTCATTTTAACACCTGCACTGAGCGGCTCAAAGCCCACATAGTTTTTTAGTCACAATGTTTTAGTTCATGGCTAGCCTATAATGTGACAGGAACATTATCTGCTTCTTTTACCTTTATTTTGATCATTTTCATTTAGACATGCTGGTAGCGACCTGCTGAGTTTTTTTTTCTTCTTCTTATTATTATTATTCATATTATTCTATTCATATTCATATTATTATTATTATATTATTATTATTAAAATTAAAAGGTAGGCACACAGGCTATTTTCAGTTTAACACCTGCACTGAGCGGCTCAAAGCCCAAATAGTTTTTTAGTCGCAATGTTATAGCCTATAATGTGACAGGAGCATTATCGAATTATATTAGATAGATAATAATATTACCTAATCGAATATATATATATATATTTTGTTACATGTTAAGCCTAATGGAATTTCGGCCGATTAATGTTATCTTTGGTGGCGTTCGTTACTGATGCCTGTTTAATGTTTTGTATGGTTGATTATGCAGGCTTACCAATAAATATGTTACCAAGTATTGGTAAGGAATTTTGTGAGCAGTGCCTTTTTTTCCCCAGGGCCAAGACCT